AAAGAAAGAAAGAAAGAAAGAAAGAAAGAAAGAAAGAAAGAAAGAAAAGGAAAGTAAAGAAAAAAGAAAGATAAAAGAACCCACAACTTAAATTTCTAATGACAGGGTATTGGTAAGTGAACCATTATATCTTCATTCCGCAGAAAACTACATAGTCATAGCTGTTGATTGCCACAGGAAAAAAAAGTTATTTTATAGGGTGAAGTTGTATCATGCAGTCATTTAACATATATGAATTAAAATTGTATCCCACAGTCCTGGGATCGAACCCCGCATCGGGCTCCCTGCTCAGCGGGGAGCCTGCTTCTCCCTCTCCCTCTGCTGCTGGCTGCTGCCCCTGCTTGTTCTCTCTCTCTGTCAAATAAATAAATAAAATCTTAAATAAACTTTAAAATTGTATGCCCAGTAAAAATATACATAAAATGAACAATGTAAATAATGCGTGTGATTCTCTCTGACATTCTGCAGTCAGCAAGCGCATAAATAGAGTGAATCTCAGATGGACAACATCAATTTATTATTCCATCACATGGATTCATTTCCCCTAAACCTATCATATTGTAACTGTCTTAAGTCAATGCGATTCTAGTTTTGGAGGCAGTTTTAATATTATGGCTCTTAGGCAAGCCAACTACTTTATCTAATTGCTTAACTATAGGGATAACAATGTATTCCACCACTGCAAGAAAAAGTGACTATGTTTGACTTATCAAGACTAGTATGTTGGTGTCTTTTATAGAGCCTTCCAATGGAATTTCAGAGCACTTTTGACTTGATGAGATTATTGCTAGTTTAACTTGATGAGATTATTGCTAGTTTAAGCTTCAAAATATTAAGAATGGTAATGACTGGATAGTAGGACTATGGATGATTATTTTTTCTTTAATTTATATTTAGTAGGCATATGGCAACTTTTATATTGAAAAAATAGAAGAGGGGCACCTGGATGGCTCAGTCAGTTAAGCGTCTGACTCTTGATTTCCGCTCAGGTCATGATCACAGGGTGATGAGATTGAGCCCCTCATTGGGCTCCATCCTGGGCATGGAGCCTGCTTAAGATTCTCTCTGTCTCTCTCTCTCTCCTTCTGCCCCTCCCCCTGGCTCTCTCTCTCTCTTAAAAAAAAATGAAAGAAAGAAAAAAGAAAAATAGAAGAAAACTAACAATTCACAGCTGAGCATTATGATGCTTATTTTCAGCACTGTGAAGGCTAATAGTCTAATTAGACCTATCCAAAAGTATATAGAAAAACAATTGTGGAGATTCTTAGGACTGATTCCTTTGAGTCTGACCCTGGGGATCAAGCCTGTACAGCACCAAAAAAAAAAAAAATTTTAAGATTAATATATAGAAGGAATGGCAGAGGAATCATGACCTAACAACTAGGAAAAAAATACAAATACAGAGATTAAAAATCTCAATTTTATATACTTTCTCATTATATTTCTTACCCACCTTTGAAAGACTTCAAAGTTGATAGCAATCTATTCCGAAAAACTTTCTGATCATCTGGAAGGAAAGGCACAGTTCAGGACAGAGAATGAGTCACAAACAGAATATAAGGGTCAGAGTTTCCTTTGTGTGACTAACTTTAGAAATCTATCCACTTTCACCTTCAAATCATGATGAAGTTAAGCAATGAAAAAGTTCTTACTATGGTATAGAGTGATATATGGTTTAGAGGTAAAGAGCCTGGGTTCAAATTCTTGTTCTGCTGCTGCCTAGCTTTGTGGCCTTAAGCAACAAACTCTGGCCTTTTCTGTGCCACAGTTTCCTCCACTGTAAAATGGGCATAACGTGTCATCATTGTGTGTGGTGAGGACAGAACTTGCCACATCATTAGGGCTCAACAAATGTTAGCTGTTATTTTTTCTAGATCCAATAATCGATCCACTGATCACACTACTGGGTATCTACCCCCCCCCCACCAAATACAAAAACACTAATTCAAAGGGATACATGCACCCCTATGTTTATAGCATTATTTATAATAGCCAAATTATGGAAGCAGCCCAGGCATTATTTATAAAAGCCAATTATGGAAGCAGCCCAAGTATGTATTGATAGATAAATGGATAAAGATGTGGTATATATGTATACCATGTTATACATATAGATACCATGTTATATATATAACAGAATATTATTCAGCCATAAAAAAAGAATGAAATGTTGTCATTTGCAATGACATGGATGGAGCTAGAGAGTATTATACTAAGTGAAATAAGTCAGTCAGAGAAAGACAAATACCATATGATCTCACTCATATGTGGAATTTAAGAACCACAACAAACAAGTAAAGGGAAAAAAAGAGAGAGACAAACCAAGAAACAGACTCTTTTTTTTAAAAAAGATTTTATGTATTTATGTATTGATGTGTTTATTTATTTATTTGAGAGTGAATGAGAGAGAGAGAGCATGAGAGGGGGGAGGGTCAGAGGAAGAAGCAGACTCCCTCTGAGCAGGGAGCCTGACGCCAGACTCGATCCTGGGACTCCAGGATCATGACCTGAGCCGAACGCAATCGCTTAACCAACTGAGCCACCCAGGTGCCCCGAAACAGACTCTTAACTATAGAGAACAAACTGCTATAGGTGGGGTGATGGGTGAAATAGGTGATGGGGATTAAGAAGTACACTTGTGGGTGCCTGGGTGGTTCAGTCAGTTAAGCATCTGACTTAGGCTCAGGTCATGATCTTGGAGTCCTGGGATTGAGCCCTGTGTTGGGCTCCCTACTCAGCAGGGAGTCTGCTTCTCCTTCTCCTTCTGCTCCTCTCCCTGCTTATGCTCTCTCTTTCTCTCAAATAAATAAAATCTTAAAAAAAAAAAAGACCCTGGGTGATATATGGAATTGCTGAATGACTATATTGCACACCTGAAACTAATATAACACTGTATATTAGCTGCACTGGAATTAAAATAAAAACTTAATAAAAAAAAGAAATTGAGCTTAACAGGGAGGAGTTTTCAGGGTTTAGCTCTGGAAGGGATAAGGATAAGGAAAAGGGAATCTCCAGGGGCAATGTAAGGAAAAGTGACTCTGGGAGAGAACAGGAATTTACAAGGACTTCTGCAATGTTACTGAGAGAGACAATATGTACATCCCTCTTTCCTCTCCCTTTCAAAATCATCAGTAACATCTTTCCTCAACACTGATTTTGTGCAAAAGGATTCTTTTCTTTTTTAAAGATTTTATTTATTTATTTGAGAGAGAGAATGAGAGATAGAGAGCACGAGAGGGAAGAGGGTCAGAGGGAGAAGCAGACCCTCCGCTGAGCAGCAGGGAGCCCGATGAGGGACTCGATCCCGGGACTCCAGGATCATGACCTGAGCCGAAGGCAGTCACTTAACCAACTGAGCCACCCAGGCGCCCGGAAAAGGATTCTTTTGACAGTTGAATTCTGTACTTGAATTGGCACAGAGTAATAGACTGTTCATATGAAATCAAGAGCTGAAGGATGGGTGCAGGTAACACCTGAACATGTGTCACTTTAAAATATAAATATCACAAGTAGAACCAGAAAACTGAACTCTTTGGAGGTTGCAGATGCAGCTCACCATCAACTGGTAGCGATTTTTGTAGATCAAGACATTCCTTATCATTGACTTCTATCCCCATGTCTCCAAGAATGTTTTTCAGATTAGTGGCATCAATCTTTTCTCCTTTGAAAATACAGAGTGTTTATAGGTGAAAATTTTAGAAATGAATAACTCAATATTATGGAGGTTCAAAAGGTTCATAAGAATATGTTAATGACTTATATGATATGTATTTTAAAATATACCTAAAATAGCTTATATGGCATCATTCCCAATTTGGGATTAAAGAGCAAAGGTAAAATGGGATGTAGAAATAGTGTGTCATTAGAAGTCAAAGCAAACTTGTTCCTAAATTATTGATATAAGAAAGTCTCTCTTAATTTGGGGGATAATGTGCAGAATAAAATCTACTTACCAAATTGGATAATGAATTGCCAAAAGAAAGAATTATGGCAGGAGATCTTATACTGACTTATGTAATTGATTGTTCACAAAATCCACACTATCTTGAGCTTTACAAAACTTTACCTTATTTATTCATACACTTACCTAAAATTTAGCTATTTGCATGTAGGCAAAGGCATATATACATATATGAGAAAAACATCTCTAAAGTATATAGGACTTGTTATCAAAAACAAGTCCTGTAGTTTATTTTTAAAACAGATAATCCAAGATCAAATGGATTTTTTTTAAATTTTTTATTGTTATGTTAGTCACCATACATTACATCATTAGTTTTTGATGTAGTGTTCCATGATTCATTGTTTGTGCATAACACCCAGTGCTCCACGCAGAATGTGCCCTCTTTAATACCCATCACCAGGCTAACCCATCCCCCCACCCCCCTCCCCTCTAGAACCCTCAGTTTGTTTTGCAGAGTCCATCGTCTCTCATGGTTCATCTCCCCCTCCGACTTACTCCCCTTCATTCTTCCCCTCCTGCTATCTTCTTCTCAAGATCAAATGAATTTTATCAGGCAGAAATATTTTACAATAATTGGGTAAGATGGCAAAATTAATATGAACAATAGACTACTGGGATAACAACATTCAAATATAATTTACTATAGAGCACTGGGGTTTCAGTGTTATAGAAACTCACCTGTAAAATCTTTCATTTTCAGTGTCACATTTTCCAGATCAACCTTCCCATCAACTGTAAGACAAAGAGCAGTTCCAGACCAAAAATGAGACTGTTCCTTCTGCTTTCTCTACCTATGACACCTGTCCCCCAACTAGAAAGTTGATATCATCTTGAATTTTATTTTATTTTTAAAGATTTTATTTATTTATTTGACAGAGACACAGTGAGAGAGGGAATACAAGCTGGGGGAGTGGGAGAAGGAGAAGCAGGCTTCCTGCGGAGCAGGGAGCCCGGTGCGGGGCTCGATCCCAGGACCCTGGGATCATGACCTGAGCCGAAGGTAGCAGCTCAACCGACTGAGCCACCCAGGCGCCCCTCATCTTGAATTTTAGTTCTAGACTATTAATTTTTCATCATATTTACTTAGATATCTAAGAATAAGTTTTTTTATTTTTTATTTATCTATTTAACAGAGAGAGAGAGAGAGGGAGGGAGAGAGAGATCACAACCAGGGGGAGGGGCAGGCAGAGGGAGAGGGAGAAACAGGTTCCCCACTGAGCAGAAAGCTCCTTGTAGGGCTTGGTCCCACGACCCTGAGATCATGACCTGAGCCAAACCAAGAGTCAGACGCTTAACTGACTGAGCACCCAGGTGCCCTTTGTCTTTATATTTGAATGACATCTTAGCTGTGTATAATTTTCTTTGCCACACTTTTTCAATTTTGTAGACATTCCTCCATTCTTTTCTGGAATTGAATGTTGCTTTGGAGACCTATTGCTTCCCCCATCTATTATGTGCTTTCTAACATTTCTATATCTGAAGAACTCCGATTTTTCCTCAATAAGTAAACTAGGAAGTACTTCACTGTAGAATATTCTGGATCAACATTTTCTGGAACTGGTGTGGTGTTTCTGATCTGCATTCACTCCTTCATTTTAGAAAACTTTTCTTTTTTTCCTTAAACTAGATTTGATTTAAAATTTTTTACTTGCTATATTCTCTAAAGATATTTGATATTCTTATGTTACTTTGTGAATCATCCATATCTACTAGATATTTGATAGCATTAATTTTTTTTAAGTTTTAATTTAAATTCCAGATAGCATTAATCTTTTCTCTGCATTTACTGTATCTTTTTTTAAAAAAAGATTTTATGTATTTATTTGAGAGAGAGAGAGCATGAGCTGGGGGGGAGAGGCAGAGGAAGAGGGAGAGGGAGAAGCAGATTCCTCTCTGAGCAGGGAGCCCAGTGCAGGGCTCGATCCAGGACCCTGAGATTATGACTCCAGCCAAAGGCAGATGCTTAACTGACTGAGCCACCCAGGTGCCCCGGTGTTTACTGTGGGTGTATTAAGTTCTCTTACTCTGTCAATAAGATATTCAGCCATATCTATTTTTTACTTTGATGTTTATAATTTATTTGATAATTCTATAATGATTGGTGCTCATTTTTTTTTTTTTTTTAGTTAGGCAATTTCCCTTTTAATATTATCATGTTATGTTACCATCTCATTTTTGAGATCTAGTTTTATTGAATCCATTAAAGTTGCTCTGTAATAAGAATTAATTGTCAAACACTTCTTTTTGGCTGTTCCTTAGGTTATACTGAATTATACTACTATTAGACTGGGTTATTTGTTTTTCACATGTTCTCTTCCTTCCATTCTATCTTCTTTCTTTCTTATTTTCCTTTTGCTATTTTTCTTTGCTGTGTTAATGTAGAATTGTTGCCATGTCCTTTCTTTTCATTTTGCATATGCTTCAACAGCTCTGTTCAGATCTTCATTTTATTCTCAAGATTTAGTGTAACCTTTAGTTGCTCTTTCTATAGTATCTGAGACCAGTTTGCTTTCTTCAGTGACAAGCATTTGAGGAAAACTTCTACCCACTTCTATTGTAATCTGAGGGTGTGATGAGGTGTTACATGGCCTTTGTTATACTTGAGCCCTGCTCTCATATCTGAGGTTTGCTCAAATGTCCCAACAGGGTTCATTGCTCTAATTAGGTAGAATGAACCCTGGTAAAGACATTTAACAAACTATGGATCTGTGCATGGGATGATGTTCTCTGGCTTCACGTCAGACCTCCATTTCTGGCTCTGAAGCTTTTCTTTCATTAATGAGTGATTCCTATTGTTCATTTCTCCTGTTTTATTGATTTTTTCCCCAGCTATTCCTTCCTAGTAAGTGGAGAGAGAGAGAGAGAGAGAGAGGGAGAGGGGAAAGTTATCTATCCAATTTGCTTCACTCCAGATCTGGGCATTTTAGTGAGAAATCTCAGGATTTCATCAGTTTAATTTCTGAGGGAGGAGAAAGGCTAAGAGGAGTCTAATTGTGCTGTACTGTTTCTACTCAAAAAATCTTTTATCTCCTTGGTTGTCCTCATTAAACATTTATGGCATTAGGTTGGCCTCCTTTTATTATTTGATTGGTGCTGAATTTCCTTTGCTGAATTTTTACTTTTTTGTTCTTATTGTTCATTTTGTTAGGTATTGGAGGAAAGAAAAACTAGACAGATCTTGGTTTATCATCTTAAACTGGAGTCCTCTGGATCGGTAAGCATTAAAATAAACAGTTCCTTGAAGATTTGAAAGAACTTACTCTTAAAACTCTCTGGGCCTGTCACCTTTTGTTATAGTGATGGGTGGTGGTGGAAAGTTGACAGATGTAATTATTTGATGGTTTTTTTCAACTATCATTATTGGTCTATCTATATTTTTCACTTCTTCTTTGATCAATATTGGTAATTTATTTCTTTTACTTTGGAAAAATGTTCATTTTTTAATATATTTAACATCTTAATCTCATGTTATCATAATACTTTACTGTAATAGTATTATTATGCTCGATATTCACAGTTATATCTCTTTTAAAATTCTTAGTGTGTTTCTCTCTATCCCTTTCCAGTCTTTCTGACTGTATCTGAACAGGCAAATTTAACCATTCCTCATCATAGACTGTTCTCTTACTTACCTCTTTAATGTTTCTTTTAAATGTTTCACATTCTATTTTCCTTTTCTTCTTCATGCTTTGACCTAAGAATGGTTTGTCAGAACTCTCACTAATTTTCATTATTCATAGAATACTCTGTTAATGAAGAGTCAGGATGTACTTTCATTTGAGACCTGCATTCAGCTACATGCTTTTTTAAAATTTTTATTATGTTATGTTTATCACCATACATCATTAGTTTTTGATGTAGTGTTCCATGATTCATTGTTTGCATGTAACACCCAGCGCTCCATTCGGTACGTGCTTTTAAAAATGTTCTGTTGAGGGGCGTCTGGGTGGCTCAGTCAGTTAAGCGGCTGCCTTCAGCTCAGGTCATGATCCCAGGGTCCTGGGATCCAGCCCTACTTCCAGTTCTGCCTCGGGTTCCCTGCTTAGCAGGGAGCCTGCTTCTTCCCTTCCTGCTGCCCCTCCCCCTGCCCCCCAGCTTGTTCTCTCTCTCAAATAAATAAATAAAATCTTTAAAAAAATGTCCTGTTGATACTAAATAAAGACTATCACTCGTCTATGGATACTTTCAAACCCAAGCTGTCCTAAAGGGAATACATTTTTATGTACAATGCTCACCATCAACTGGTAGGGTTTGTGAAAAATCTTCAAGTTCTTTATGTGAGAGCTTAATCCCCATATTTTCCAGAAATGTGTCCAGGTTATTGATATCAACCTTTCCTCCTTAGGAGAGACAAAGTATCATAAAAACAACCAAGATGTGGAAAATTCCTTATTAATTCATGTATATTATTGTTCTCACTTTACTCATGAAGACATTCAGGTCCAGTAAGACCTAGTCAACTGTACTAGGAGGGTCAACTTTATTTTTTTAAAAATTTTTTTATTTTAAGATTTTATTTATTTATTTGAGAGATAGAAAGCATGAGAGGGAAGAGGGTCAGAGGGAGAAGCAGACTCCCTGCTGAGCAGGGAGCCTGATGCGAGACTCGATCCTGGGACTCCAGGATCATGACCTGAGCCGAAGGCAGTTGCTTAACCAACTGAGCCACCCAGGTGCCCAGGAGGGTCAACTTTAAAACTAGATATAGAGTCTCATTGTTTGACTATATCTTTTGTTCATTATCAACATAATGCAAGTTCTAAAAGGGCTGGGTAATTTTCCAGGGATTTATGGCATATATAACATATCCATAAATTTTAGAAAATACATATATGAAATTTTTAATGTAATAAGAATAAACTAGTGTATATGAAAAATAAGAGACTATCTCAGATTTATCTGCTTTCTCATTATACTTCTCACTCACTTTTAAGAGTCTTCACACCATCCAGCAACCTTTTTTGATACACTTTTCCTTCAGCTGTAAGAAAAGGCATAATTCGGGTGAGAGAAAAATAATAAGGGAGATTCACTTAACCAATAAATATTCTACAATTCTTTCCCTAATTCCATAATTTCAAAAAGATAGACTTTTTAATGATTTTTCTGAAATTTACCTAATTTGTTCTCAAATAATAACAAAGTTTGTTTGGAGAAAGATTTTAATGATGCAAATTTATTCACTCTTGCATGAAAGGCAAGGATTATGGCTTAAAACTTATAAAACATATATCTCATTTGATTTACTTGTTTCTCTGATTTCTTTCCTTACACTCTTTATTCTTCCATTTTTACATCTTTCCTCTTACTCTCAGGAATATTAATGGAACCAAGGACAACAAAACACACATGTTATTGGCAGGATTAAGTGAAATAGCTATTGCCTACCATAATAAAAACTAAATGACCCAAATTTTCTTTGGCAAAAATCAAATAATTAAAAAGAAAGTTGCATTCTAAAAAAAAGTTTTCAAAAATGATTAAACAAAACCAACCTGGTAACAGTCTGGTATCATTTTAGAAGAAAATCCTACAGATCATAGGGGAAGGGAGGGAAAAAATGAAACAAGACGAAACCAGAGTGGGAGACAAACCATAAGAGACTCTTAATCTCAGGAAACAAACTGAGGGTTGCTGGAGTGGAGGGGGGTGGGAGGGATGGGGTGGCTGGGTGATGGACATTGGGGAGGGTATGTGCTATGGTGAGCACTGTGAATTGTGTAAGACTGATGAATCACAGACCTGTACCCCTGAAACAAATAATACATAATGTTAATTAAAAAAATTAAAAAAAAAAGAAAATCCTACAGTCAAGCACTCTAAAGCTCCATGAATTATACATATATATTTTAAATCCTTACCATCAACTGGTAGAGTTTTTACTAAATTAAAGTATTCCTTGTCTGTGACCTCAACTTTCATGTCTTTCAGAACATCATATACATCACTGATGTCTATCTGCTCTCCTAGAAAAGACAGAAATTGTGACAAAGAAGAATTTGGGAAGAACACAAAATTAGTAAGTTATTACAGTCAAATGCTGTTAACTAGCAAGATTTTCACTCATGTGTCATTAAGATAATTTCATGGGTAGTTAAAAATCATGTATTCTAGAACAAACAAAAATTAAAATTTGTTATTACCTTGACTAATTATATAAACATGTAAAAAAATAAAACAAATAATAATTTCGGTCTTTGCTACACAAAATAGAAATTCAAGTAGTTTTCCTGATAGTTTGAAATTATAATTATGTTAGGAGCAGTATAATGTTAGGCACATAAATCTAGAAAGGATTTCTAGATTAGAAGCTTATATGAATACAATATACATAAAATGCACATAGTTGATGCTTATTAGAAAGAATGTTTCAAAAAGAGGGCCTCAGGCTTCCCCAATAATTTTTGTTTTGTACTATTTTTATGGTAAATAATCTTTTGATTATTGTAAATAGTTTTATACTTTGTAACTTTAGAAAGGAAAAACAATTTTGGTTTAATTAAGTCTTTTGGTTTAGGGCACCTGGGTGGCTCAGTTGGTTAAGTGACTGCCTTCGGCTCAGGTCATGATCCTGGAGTCCCGGGATCGAGTCCCACATCGGGTTCCCTGCTCAGCAGGGAGTCTGCTTCTCCCTCTGACCCTCTTCCCTCTCGTGCTCTCTATCTCTCATTCTCTCTTTCTCTCAAATAAATAAATAAAATCTTTAAAAAAAAAAGTCTTTTGGTTTAAATCAGTGGAAAGTGAATCTCTGAAAGCTTACTGTCTAGAATCCTAAACTTTTAATCAGTAAATTAGATATGTTGCATATTTCAAATGTATATGTCTAGTATGGATATTTCTTTTTATTTATTCTGCTTAGGAGTCACTTGACTGTGTCTCTTAACCTCTCTTTCATATTTCTCATTTCTTTGTCTTTTTGTGCTATATACCTTGTAATTTGTTAAGCTGCTTAGTTGTTTCTTCAGCTGTTCATAAATTACTGTTAAAATCTTCAAATGTTTTAAATTTTTACTATTTTAATTTCTCAAAAGTCTATTTGGTTCTTTATCAAATCTGCTTGCTCTTTACTCAAATGTACTCAAGCCTCTCTTTTCATTATTAAATTATATTAAGCATGCTTATTTAATAATTTTTGGCCTGATAATTCCAAAATCTAAAATCTTCCCTGATCTGATTCTGCTAAATGTTGTTCACGATGGGTATCTTACTTATAGTGCCTCATTTACTTGTATATTTAATAATTCTAAACTATGAACTGCTCTTTATGTGGAATTCTTTGTTTTGAGAAGAAGGGTATCCTTCAAGACAAGAATCAGACTGATTAATTCTAGATTATCAGTGCACGAGTTTAGGCCACTCTTCAGGAGCATTAACACAGTACATGAATAGTGTATACTAAAAGACCCATTGCTTATTATAGCTTATCCCTTAATTCAGTAGCCTTGACTATATCCTTCTGGCTTCAGAGCAATTGCACTTTCTAAATTGCTAGTCAAAGCATCTTCGATCTCATATTAAGATCATATTTAAATCTGATGTTACTATATGCAATTATAATCTCTATTGCTAACTGAAAATATCCAATATTTTTTGACTGGTTGGTTACTAATTATGGAATATTGCTACTCTCTCCCCATATTACTATCCATTGGTATAACACTCTCAATCCAGTGACTCTATTACCTTTACCCTATGAAGAAGTTTTCTACTTCTGTAATTATAATTTACATAATTGTATTTCTGTAGTTTAGTAAGTGTCCATGTCGTAAACAGATCTTTTGGGTATTTCAGTACCACGCTCTGACTTAATATTATTTGTTGATGGGTCTTGTCTTAATAGTGAAAAGGGACCATAGTAGGTTAAAGATGCAATAATTAGTTTAGTTTCTCTTGAAAGATCTAAGTCCTTAACAGATACAAGATTGGTTCAAGTGACTGAGCATTGGCCTTTTCTAGAGATTTCAAATTGGTAAAACTAAATGATAGGCGATATACTTTTATAGTAATTATTACTTGGTGTTTTGATGCTGCTCAAAGAAATTGCTATCTTAAAGGTAGAAAAGCCCACAGTAAAAACAGATGGTATAAAGACTAGAGAAAGTGCGTTAGTGGATCTTACTAAATAGACTGTGCAGAAAAAAGTTAACATAGCAGGCCTGAGGCTGCTATCTTTAGAAGAGCCTGCTTGCTATTAGTACTTGGCTGACATCTGGGAACTTGGATTTCAGAATGTTCCCTCCAATACGAACTGAAAAGGTTAGCTCACTGTGCCTAAACTTGTGCAAACAATGTGATTTATGGTGAATACTTGTTTTTCTTCTGGGAGTCTGGGATACTGACAGTTGATAGGCAGAGGGCACCTATGTGAGTAGCCCCAAATAAAAAACCTTGGGCACTGAGTCTCTAATGGGTTTCTCTGGGCACAAATGTGTAACTACATTTTTGCTGCTGGAAGGAAGGTATGTTATATATGACCCCTCATAAGAAGGAGTGCATAGGAAGCCTGCACATGGATTCTTCTAGAAGCTTCCTATATCTTTTTTTCTTACTGATCCAGATATATCCTTGGTGTTCACTCTTTGTATCATACAGTACTATGGATTTTGACAAATGCAATATGTCATGTATTCACCATTACAGTAACATACAGAGTTTCACTGACCTAAAATTCTGTTGTGGCCCTTATACTCATCTCTCCTCCCTATACCACCCTCCTAAACTCCTGGCAACCACTGATCTTTCCATTTTTTCCATAGATTGATAGCCCATTTCTTTTTATTATTGAATAATATTTTATTATATGGGTGTATCACAGTTTGTTTATCCATTCTTCTATTCAAGAACATCGTATTTGCTTGCAAGTTTTGGCAATTATAAATAAAGCTGCTATAAACGTTTGTGTGCAGGTCTTTGTGTTCACATTTTTTCAACTCATTTGGGTAAATACCTAATTTGTGATTATTGGATCTTATGATAAGATTAAGTTTAGCTTTGTAAGAAACTGTCAAACTGTCTTCCAAAGTGACTATACCATTTTGCATTCTTCTTGCCATTCTAATAGGTGTGTAGTGTTCCCTCATTATTTTAATTTGCAATTCCCTAATGATATATGATGTTGAGCATCTTTTCATATCCTTATTTGCCATCTGTAAATCTTCTTTGGAGAGATTAAGATTCAGATCTTCTGCTCACTTTTTAATTAGGTTGTTTCCTTACTATTGAGTTTTAAGAATTCTTTGAATATTTTGGATATAAGTCCCTTATCAGATATGTGTTTGCAAATATTTCCAGCCAGTTTGTGGTTCATCTTTTCATTTTTTTTAAATGAAAGTTCTTTTTGAAGGACCTCGAAAAACAAGTGTAGAGGGACACCTGGGTGGCTCAGTCGGCTAAGCATCTGCCTTCGGCTCAGGTCATGATCCCAGGGTCCTGGGATGGAGTCCCTCATCGGGCTCCTTGGTCAGCGGGGAGCCTGCTTCTCCCTCTGCCTGCCACTCTGCCTGCTTGTGCTTTCTTCCTCCCTCTCTCTCTCTCTGACAAATAAGTAAAATCTTAAAAAAAAACCCCAAAACAAAAAAACAAACAAAAAACACGTATAGGATCAGATTCAAAGATTCCATTATAGAAGCACAAAATTTGACCTCAATTTTGTAAAGAAATAATTGGAATAGTTAGGTTATAATATCCATGAGGATAAGATTTGGCAAAGCCAGGATTTCTACCTAGTTGCATCAGATAATATTTCAAATTGACATTTGCCAAAATCTTACATAAAACAAGCCATCACTATAAGAACAAATTCTCTACATTATTAAACACTGATTAGGATATTTTGTATTATATTAGAGGATATCACCAATTCATGCCTCATCTGAAATCAAAATAAATATGGAAAGTCTGTAACTTTGAGCCCTGGATTAGAACCACATCTTAAGGAACCCTTTGAGCATATCCAAATGGATTTTATATATTTGCTTCTGAATTATGAATATGTACTAATAATATTATGTTTATTTTCTGGATGGGTTGAAACACTCTTTCATCAAAAATCCATAGCACTCATACTGGCCAGCAAACTTTTGGATATCCTGCTACCTACTTAGAGCATTCCATCTTATATATTCAATTATAGGGCAATATGCTTTATTTTGGTAATTATTCATGATTATACCAGAGGTTTTGGCTATTATTTAGAAACTTCACTGTGTTTTGAACGCCAAAACTTCTGGAAAAATGGAAGAGACATTATCAGAATTGCAAAATTATATTAGAAGCTTAAATTGAGGTTCTCCAGAGTATCCAAGAAGCAGGTGGTTCATATAAGTCACCTGCTGACCTAAGATCCAAGATCCTCAGAACAAGTGGAAAACTGCATGAAGTAGAGAGCTTCCATCCAAGACCATGAGAATAAGAAAATATTGATTTGTCAGTGCTTTGTGTGTTTTTCACATATTTTTATTCACTATTTTTGTCATATTTTTTTCTTTTTATTGTTTAGTATTATACACTTCTGACTTAGCCTATCATGATCTCCCTTACTTCTACCAATAACTTATTGAGGTTTAAGTTTTACTAGAGATAATCATTTTGCTAGAGTTAGGACAATCCTAACTCTGTAACTCAGCCTTTTACTAGCAAACCAATTTAAAGAATTACTGTAGGGCTAATTGAAAATTTATGTGTATGAATTGTGCATGACTTTCCAGCGGTTCAATGGATCTTATCTTCTTAGTCCAAGGGGATAGAAACTTTTCTGGGGAAATAAATAATATCTGGTGGAAGAGATTCCTAAGTATAATGTTTTCTAACCATAGTAATAAAAAAATTTGTGACTGACTTAGCATATAATACAGTTCATGCCCTATCATTCAGTATAATAAACCAGTTAAAATTTCCTAGATAAATGATAGAATTGCTTTGAATTTTCTTTTGCCCAACTATAAGGGGATATGTACCATTGTTAATAATGCATATTGTACTTGGATTCACACTACAGATCTAATTTATCTAAGAAAAGAAAAGACAACTTGGGTATGTAAAGTAGACTTAAGGCATAATTATAATTGGGACTAGTTTTCTTTCAGGCCTGAGAAATATTGGACCATGATTCTAGAGTGCTTCCCTTTCCTTCTTATAATACCTTCAGCTACTTTTGTTTGTCTCACAGCTGTTTGAAGTCTGCTTTTCAGAGACTTAAATGCTTCTGTGTAGGCACTGTATGAACAAATAATTAAACAAATGATTCAAAGACAAAACCAGGATGAAATTATCTTGACATTCAGATGTCAGCTCCTCTCAAGGAAAATCTACAATAGTGAAGGTCTGGACAGTTCTTGATGATCTCTCCTGTGCTTTTGGTTGAGTGAGGATCAAAAGGTGGAATTAGGAATAAAAACATCCCACATTATTAAGAAAAGGCTGTTGCCATGGCTATAATAGAACATTATCAAATGAATATAAATTATGAAAAACAAAACAAAATGTGTTTGTACAGTACCATCTTCTATTGCTAGATGAACAAAGACCTAAGGTCACCTGCTATATTATACAGAGTTAATATCAGACTTAAAAATATAACATTGTCCCTTATTTATAATAAAAGGCATGTCTTCATGTTAGAGGAAAATACTACATATAATAATATAAGGCTAATATAATTGCCCAAGAAATTATATTTGTGATGACTTATTCAAGTAATTATGTCTATATATAGTATCTCAGTTATAATCTAAATTTTGAAATTTTTTGTCTTATGCCAAGACCTAGTACCTCTGTTGCAAAAGCACAGATTATCAAAAAAATCATAGGTTATCAAAGCAGGCAGAAATGTTTAATTAATGTTAATTAATGAAAATGTTTAATTAATGAAGGGTTAAAATGGTGAAATCAACAAGGGACGAAAGGGATGGTAAAATTATCATTAAAACTGTATAAAGAATTAAGTTATTTTTCACTTACCTAAAGCAGTACTCAATTCTTCTATCAATGTATTTAGTTTGATCTTCCCTTTATCTGTAAGTCAAGACAAAATTTAGACACTGGTAATCCAAACTCAGAAAAAAAGCATAAAGCATAAAATACTTAAATTATGAAGTAGAACCTAGATGAAAGCTATTCACTGTATCTTGTCCTTTTTAAATTTATAATTCTTGGATTTTAATGGATAGCTCCATTATCTGCCAGGGGCACTATCATTCTTTGAACCGTAAAGTCTATCTTAGGAAAAATGTTCTCTCAAGTCTTTTGGATTCATTCTATTTCTAACTCCATGTTTCTCTAGGAATGGCTGATAACACATGATTGATATACATTTAAAACCACTGTTTATGTATTATGTTGTTTTCTATCATTGGAGAAAGACAAAGAATCCTGGGAAAAAGAGCAATGAAGAGCACAGTGTCTGGTAAACTAAAGCTATTAAATTTTGCTTGAGGGGAAAATGCCATGTAGGGAGTTGGAAAGAATGGTTGAAAGAGATTGGTTGGAGCTAACAGTTTAGACTTTGACATTGGACTGCCTGGAGTTGGGAATAGAGCAGTGAAAGAAAAAGATAAAAATCCTGGCTCCACAAAATTTACATTTATTTGTTTTATTTATGGCTGTATTCCTAAGGCCAAAACAGAAACTGCTAGGTGTTAGGTGTTCAATAGGTATTGTTACATGAATGAATAAGTTAATTTGTCATAAAAATGCTTAGCACTGTGTCTAGCATATTGTAAGACTCAATGCATATAAGCTATGAAGGTCATTGAAAGGTTTTAATTGGAAGAATTACAAGGTCAGATTTTCACTCTAGTTAAGTCATCTGGTGAGTGGGTATAGAATGAATTGAAGGCAAAAATGGGACCAGTGACTGTTATACTAGTCAGGAGCCTTCTGTAGTAGTGTAAGCAAAGGATAATGAGGATTTGAATTAAGAGTAGTATAGCAAAGATAGAGAGTGGGGATATTTTTAAGAGGAAAAAATGAAGGAACATGAGAAGTCAAAGATAATTTGTGGGTTATTTCAGGGGTAGTTGTGGGTGGACGATAGTGGCAGAGAAATAAAAAAAAATTAGGACTGAATTTAATAGGGAAAATAGTTTACTTTTTATATGTTGAATTTGGATTTCCACTGGGAAATCTACGTCTCAACAGAGATTTGTTGATATAGAAGATCCTTTAACTGACCTCCATTTAACTACCCTGATGGCCTGAACTATATTCATCCTTCCTACTGTAAAACATTCATACTGATGTTGATGGCATGCTAAACTTTACATCTAGTAAGCTACACTTTTAGTAAGCCAGCACATTTGTGTTCCTATGGGTTGAGTTGTTGAGCTTGTTTCCAGGTTTGTTTATAAAAGAGTTGTACTTATTATTAAATTGATAACTTAATCATTATATAAACTGTTAAACTATAAATGGAAAAGGGAGTTATTACCGTAAAAACAAATTTGAATGTTTTGGAAAGTTTATGTAAAGCTGAATTTGGTATGGATAAATAACTGTAAAAAGATTGGGCAAGGAATTAAAATCTAGATGGATTCTGATGGAAATTTCTGCTCAATTTTTAAAAAAAGCACTTTGCTCCACTTAAGAGAAACTGAAAATGGAAGTATAGATGATAAATGGGTATTTTTGTGCAAGAAAATCTCCAAAGAATATGGCTACATTAAATTAAAATGTAGTCCCACAGATCTGTACCTCTGAAGCAAAAAATACATTATATGTTAAAAAGAAGAAGATAGCAGGAGGGGAAGAATGAAGGGGGGGAAATCAGAAGGGGAGATAAACCATGAGAGACTATGGACTCTGAAAAACAAACTGAGGGTTCTAGAGGGGAGGGGGGTGGGAGGATGGGTTAGCCTGGTGATGGGTATTAAAGAGGGCACGTTCTAAAAGGAGCACTGGGTGTTATATGCAAACAATGAATCGTGGAACACTACATCAAAAACTAATGATGTAATGTATGGGGTTTAACATAACATAAAAAAATTAAAATGTAGTCCCATTTTTTTATGGAAATAAAATATGTATGGTACATATACATCATTTTTATTATTCCTTACTCTAACTGGATTTTTAGAGTGTCTGATCAAATACTTGCCCCCATCATGCTACATAAAAAGGACCTCACTGTCCTAGACTGAAATGCATGAAAAAAGTATAGGTTTGAGATAAAAAGATTTGAAATCTTAAATATATATGGTTAAGTGGAATCAGCAAGGAAGAGTGTGGAAAGAACAATAGACTGAAAATAGAACTGTTATATTACTATCATTTAAGCCAGTGATTTTCAAAACTTTTTTATTGTAAGCCACACTAAGAACTCTAAACACGCACACACACATACACACACACACAATTGATCATGAAGTCTGATGACACAAAATCTAGCTTGACTGTTTCATTAAAAAATACTCACTTAACCAACTAGTTTGAAGGGAGAAAGAAAAGTCTATAAGAAAATGAGCCTTACAAACAAGAGTGCCCATTCTCACCACTCCTATTCAACATAGTACCAGAAGTCTAAGCCAGAGCAATCAGGCAAGAAAAAATGGGTATCCAAATAGGAAAGGAAGAAGCATAATTGTCTTTGTTTGCAGATGATATGATCTTATATATAGAAAATCCTAAAGACTCCACCAAAAAACTGTCAGAACTAATCAATGAATTCAGTAAAGTTGCAGTATACAAAATCAACATACAGAAATCAGTTGCATTTCCATATACTTTATATCTGAAAAAGAAATAAAGAAAATAATACCACTAACAATAGCATAAAAAACAACAAAATACTTGGAAATAAATTTAAATAAGAAGGTGAAAGATCTATACAATGAAAACTACAAAACCATGATGAAAGCAATTGAAAAAGACAAAAACAAATGGAAGTATAGCTCACATTCATGGGTCAGAAAAATTAGTATTGTTAAAATGTCTGTACTACCAAAAATCATCTATAGATTCAATCCAGTTCCTATAAAAATTCCAAAGGTATTTTTTCACAGACATAGAAAAAAAATCCTTAAATTTATACGGAACCACAAAAGACCCTGAATAGCCAAAGCAATACTGAGAAAGAACAAAGCTGGAGGCATTACCCTTCTTGATTTCAAATGATACTACAGAGAGATTATTGAAAGATATGAATTTAGTGCCGTGTTACCTGCAGAGTTGGTGTTTCTGGTGATGTTCTCTGGTCCTTTCTAGTCTTTGTTTCTTTTGGTCTTTTTTTTTTTTTTTTCACCACCCAAAGAGTCTCCCTTAAAATTGCTTGCAGGGCTGGTTTAGTGGTCACAAACTCCTTTCGTTTTTATTTGTCTGGGAAACTCTCTTTCTCTCTCTTTCTATTCTGAATGACAGTCCTGCTGGATAAAGAATTCTTGGCTGCATATTTTCCCCATTCAGCACGTTGAACATTTCCTTCCACTCCTTTCTAGCCTGCCAGGTTTCAGTGGACAGATTTGCTGCAAACCTGTTCTGTCTTGCTTTGTAGGTTAAAGACATTTTTCCCTTGCTGCTTTCAGGAGTCTTTCCTTATCTGTGTATTTTGAGAATTTGACTATGATATGCCTTGATGATGGCTGGCTTTTGTTGAATTTAATGGGAGTTCTCTGTGCTTCTTGGATTTTGATGTCTGTGTCCTTCCCCAGATTAGGGAACTTTTCAGCGATAATTTGTTCAAATAAATCTTCTGTCCCCTTTTCTCTCTCTTCATCTTCTGGGACTCTTATGATACGAATGTCATTACATTTAATAAGTCACTGAGTTCCTTAAGTCTACCTTTGTGGTCCATTACCTTTTTTTCCCTCTTCTTTTCAGCTTCATTTCCCCCCACAATTTTATCTTCTATATTACTGATTTGCCCCTCTGCTTTGTCCATCCTCATTTTTATGACCTCCACTTGGGATTGCATCTTGGTTATAGCATTTTTAATTTCAGCCTGACTAGATTTTAGTTCTTTTATCTCTGCAGTAAGGGTTTATCTAGTGTCTTCTATGCTTTTTTCAAGCCCAGCTAATATCCTTATAATTGTTGTTTTAAATTCTGGCTCAGACATCTTACTTATATCTATATTGATTAAATCCCTGGTTGTACTACCTCCTGTTCTTTCTTGTGGGGTGAATTTCTCCATCTCATCATTTTGTCCAGAAAAGAAAAGAAGAAAGAAAAAGACAAAATAAAAAGTCCAACAATAACAACAACAGCAACAAAACTAGATCCTGCATGTGTTTTGGTCTGCTTGTTAAAGAATCTTCCAAAGATGGTCACTTTTCTTCTTGTAGACTTGTAGTTTCTGTTCTCTTAGACCTCCGATTGATTTCTTGGATGTTTGGAATGATCTGATAACTATCTAGCTGTATTTGAGGGATGAGACATGCTTAGGGTCTCCCTAATCCTCTACCATCTTAACTCCTCCCCCTCAAACTATACTACAAAGCTAATCTAACAGTATGGCACAGCATAAAAATAGATACATGGACCAACAGAACAGAATCAAGAGCCCAGAAATAAAACCTCACATATACAGTCAGCTATCAACAAGGCAGCCAAGAATACTCAATAGGGAAAGGACAGTCTCTTCAATAAATGGTGTTGGGAAAACTGGATAACCATAGGCAAAATAATTAAATTGTACCACTATCTTATACCACTCAAAAACATGAACTTGAAATGAATTGAAGACTTAAATGTAGGACCCAAAACAATAAAACTTCCAGAAGAAAACATAGCTTTTTTTTAAAAGATTTTATTTATTTATTTGACAGAGAGAGACACAGCAAAAGAGGGAACACAAGCCGGGGGAGCAGGAGAGGGAGAAGCAGGCTTCCCACAGAACAGGGAGCCCAATATGGGGCTCGATCCCAGTACCCTGGGATCATGACCTGAGCCAAAGGCAGACGCTTAATGACTGAGCCACCCAGGCACCCTGAAAACATAGCTTCTTGACATGAGTCTTGGCAATTATTTTTTTAGTTATGACACCAAAAGCACAAGCAACAAAAGAAAAAATTAATAAGTGGGACTACACCAAACTAAAAGGCTTCTGCAAAGCAGTAGAAACAATCAACAAAATGAAAGGGCAACTTACAGAATGGAAGAAAATATTTGCAAACCATGTATCTGATAAGGGATTAATATTCAAAATATATAAGGACCTCATACACTCAATAGCAAAACCCCCAAAATCCAACTAAAACATGGGCAGAGGAACTGAATAGTCATCTTTCCAAAGAACATATACAACTGGCCAGCAGGTACATGAAAATGTGTTCAATATCACTCATCATCAGGGAAATGCAAATTGAAACCACAATGAGATATCACTTCACACTTGTTAGAATAGCTATCATCAAAAAGAAATAACAAATGCTGGTGGGGATGTGGAGAAGAGGAAACCTTTGCTCACTGTTGGTGGGAATATAAATTGGTACAGTCATTGTAGAAAACAGAATAGAGGTTCCTTTAGAAATTAAAAATAGAACTACCATATGATCCATTAATCCCACAGCATAGCATATAATTCAAAATCCCACTTTGAAAAAGGATTTCAGAAAGATATCCGCACTCCCATGTTCATTGGAACATTAATCACAATAGCCAAGATATGTGTCTGTCAGTGCATGAATAGGTAAAGAAGACGTGGTATATTATATACAATAGAAAATTAGCCCCGAGAAAGAAGGAAATCTTGCCATTTGTGACAACATGGATAAACTTTGAAGGCATTATGCTAAGTGAAATAAGTTGGACAGAGAAAGACTAATACTGTATGTTATCACTTATATGTGGCATCTAAAAATGCTGAACTCAGGGTGTGTGGGTAGCACTGTTGGTTGAGCATCCGACTTTTGATTTTGGCTCAGGTCATGATCTTAGGGTCGTGGGATCGAGCTCAGTGTGGAGTCTGCTTAAGACTCTCTCTCCTTCCCTTTCTGCCCTTCCCTGCTCTCAAATAAATAAAACTTTAAAAAAGAACAAAAACAAAAATGTTGAGCTCATAGAAACAGAGTTAGAATTGTCATTATCAGGGGCTGAGGGAGGAGGTGGGGAAATGGAGAGATCTTAGGTAAAGGGTATAAACTCTGATTTCTAATGTGAATAAATTCTGAGAATATAATACAGAATGGTGATTATAGTAACAACACTGTATTATATACTTGAAAGTTCCTAAGAGTAGATCTTAAATGTTTTCACTATAAAAAAAAAGATAATTATGTGATGTTACAGAGGTGTTAGCTATGGTGGTAATCATTTTGCAATATATAAGTTTATCAAATCAACAGCTGAACGCCTTCAATTTACACAATGTTATATGTCAATCATATCTCAGTAAAGATGAAAACAATAAGTACCCCTTAAAAAGTACAAGGGTGATTATGTGCTTACCAGCATCTGGCAGTCTTTCTATCAGATCCATGAATTCTTTTTCTTTGATGCTGATTCCCATGTTTTCTAAAAGAGTGTCCAGCTTGTTGACATCAACACTGCCTTCTAAGTAAGGAACAGGAAAAGAATACAGTAAAATTGAATGTTTCTAAAACTGGACCATGAATTCACTGTGCTGTGTTATTATTCCTCTTTATCAAGCATGTATTTTATTACAATAAAAAAAACTCACATATTTCTTAGTATTAAGATTTTCAAGATGAATACCAAAAACCCAGTTTTGTTCAGTTAATAAGAGAATAAAAATTCCTCTCAATTTTATGTTAGGATTTTGAAAAGCGAGAGCTAGAGATGACTGACATAATATTCTATAAAACAGGAGTTGTTTTTATTGTCTGTACTTTCAAATTATTTGCCTCTGTTTTTGACTGAAACCTTTATCTGACAGTGTTCATTCTTTACCTTTTGCTTTCTGTTTTTATTTTGTTTCTTTGGGGCTGAGTTAGGAAAATCCAAGAAAGTTTAACACTTTCTGCCAAATTTTAGTACAGGAAACTACTTGGTTTACTTGGTAAATTGCAGATCTACTTAAGAAAGCATAAATAAATACAATTACATAGGAAAGGATGATTCATATTTTAACAACACAAATAAAGGTTTCGGATTCAGTCTTTTCACTGTGCTTCTTACTCACGTTTGAGAGACTTTATGCCCTTCATCAACCTTTTTTGATACACTTTTCCATCAGCTATAAAAAATAGATATTTAAAATGGAGTCAGAAAGGTAGTACACATCTTTTAATTTCAGAAAGAAAGAATTTAGAAATCTTTGCATCAGGAACATTTCTTTTTTTAATTAATTAATTTACTTTTTTATTATGTTAATCACCATACATTACATCATTAGTTTTTGATGTAGTGTTCCATGATTCATTGTTTGCATATAACACCCAGTGCTCCATGCAGAATGTGCCCTCTTTAATACCCATCACCAGGCTAACCCATCCCTCCACCCTCCTCCCCTCTAGAACCCTCAGTTTGTTTTTCAGAGTCCATCGTCTCTCATGGTTCGTCTCCCCCTCCGACTTACTCCCCTTCATTCTTCCCCTCCGCAACAGGAACATTTTGAATGCAAATAGATAAATATATGAAATTGTTCACTCTCAGTGGTAAAGGAGTGAATTGCAAATCATAATCATGAGATGCTCTTTTTTTTTCTGTATTGAGAATGTAGAGAAAATAACATCCTCAAATACTGTTTGTGGGAGTTCAAATTATAATATTCTGGAAGAAAATGTGAGAAAACAAACAAAATATCTTCCATTTTACAACTCTACTTAAAGGAATTTAATCTCAAAAAATTTTAGAATATTTGCAAAGATTTATCCACAAGGTTGCCAAATAAAAAAGGATATATATTCATACATGGAGAACTAGAAAAATATACATCAAAATTCTCATAGTAGTTATTGCTTTAAGTTGGGAATAGAGATAGTTTTATTTTCACTTATTTGCATTATCAAGGTTTCTATGATAAATACGCATGTTAACATTGTGAAGAGATAAGAAGTATAAGTAAATTAATATACATATAAATATTATCTACCAATCTATCATCTGCTGAGCACTAGAAGGAAGTGTACCAAAATACTAATAATGGCTATCTTTGGGTTATGGGATTAAAAAGAATTTTTAATAATTTTTTTGGTTTTATTTAAAACCAGGGCATTATGCTAAGTGAAATATGTTGGAGAGAGGAAGACTAATACTGTATGATATCACTTATATATGGATTCTTAAAATGCTGAACTCAGGGTGTGTGGGTAGCACTGTTGGTTGAGCATCCGACTGAGCCACCCAGGCACCCCAAAAACATAGCTTCTTGACATGAGTCTTGGCAATTATTTTTTTATATAGGGTTGTTTTATGTAAGATTGTAATTTTTCATTTATTTTTGATGTTTGTATCTTTTTTTAATGTTCAGTTAGCCAGCATATAGTACATCATTAGTTATTTATGTAGTGTTCAATGATTCATTAGATGCGTATTTTTTTAATCCTTTAGAATCTTAGATTTTTTTTATTATGTTATGTTAATCACCATACATTACATCATTAGTTTGTTTTTTTTTTGATGTAGTGTTCCATGATTCATTGTGCATAACACCCAGTGCTCCACGCAGAATGTGCCCTCTTTAATACCCATCACCAGGCTAACCCATCCCCCCACCCCC